ATATATTCATAAATATATAATCTAAATTATATATATAAAAAAGAGGAGGCTCAGTCCAAGCTTAAGTAACAGGATCTCAAAGGGCTACAGGACCTTCTTTTTACTTAATCACCTCTAGAAAGTGGCTGGGTTTTGAGTTAACCCCAAGGTGCAGAGCCTGGAGCTACAAGCCGAGGACACTCTGCCTCAGTCAGGAAGGGAGATGAGGGGATGCAGGTGGATCTGCCGGCCCTGCAAGTCCTAGCTGTGCAGCCTTAGCCAAGTTGTTTAACCTAAATTATGCTCCTTCAGCTGTAAACTTGAGATAATAACAGCACCTGCCTTTGGGCATCCTTGCAAAATCTGAGATAATCCATGCAAGATGCTCAGGGCAACTTCTGGTACATGGTACACCTCTCAATGAATATTAGATGATATTATTAGTGTCATGTTCATTGTTACTAGTGCATGACCCTCCTTGACTTCCTCATGCCTCAGTTTCCTCTTGTGCAAAGTGAGGATGATAATAACCTGCCCTACAAGGTTGATCCAAATGAGGCTGTGCATGGCCAGACACTTCCTGTAACCATTATTATTGCTCTGTTCTAAACCACGCGTGACCTTCAACACAACTCCAGCTAGTGATTAAGACACAACAGGAAGAAGTGACTGGGAGTGTGCATTTTCATTCTGGGCTCACTTATTGATGACATGGCTTTGGCCCATACCTTATCCTTTCTAAGCTGTTGGTGCCCAATAAATATAAGCACTGTTGATATGGTGGTGTGCAGGTTAGTTGAGGATGGCACTTCATCGTGAACAAGCAGTAGAAGGCCCGACATACCACAGCACTAGGTAGGATCACTTTTGCTGTTGGAAACCAGTTCTGACTTATTTTATTTCTGTCAGGGGAGGTGTCGTTCTCCAGGACCAAGCTTTGGGGTAGACTTCGAGTCTTCCCTTCTTCATCTCTTGTGAACAACCTATCACAGGTCCCAGAGAGTCTCCTTTCTAAACATTGGGTTCCATTCTGATGCTTCTTCACAGTTCACTATGGTTTTCTCTTGGTTCGATTCCCTTTCCTTTGACCCATCCCCTGGACCAGATCTCCTCTTGTTAAAAACAAGAAAGTCCCTCTTCTGAGCAGAAACCTTCAGCAGCTAGTTGTGGACCACAGAGCGAGAGACTCAGCCTCTTAAAGAACATTCCAAGGTATTCCACAGCAGCCTCCATCCCACTTGTATGAACTCATGGTCCATTTCTCTACAGCTGGAGCCCTATGGTCCTCTAAGGCTCATCTGCCATGTGCAGCCCCAGTCAGTCCCACCTCCACCAGGGCAAATACTGGTCTTCCCTTCCTGGGGTACTTACTGCATAGCCCTGGCTTCCATTCTACCTATCTTCGAGGCCAAGCCCAGGTCCCTCTCTGCATAAAAATACCACTTTTCAAATTATTTTTTGGAATAGTTGGCCAAGAGTCTCTTGGACTATTCCAGACACAGTTGTCTTTCTCTGAATTTTTACAGTCCCAATAGCTTGCATACAGCTTTGGCACTTTCTATCCAGTTCTCAGTGTGGAGCTTGTCTTCCCAAGCTTGCCATTCATTGTGGGCAGAGACCATATTTTATTCATCTTGACTCTTTGTAGACACCCTCATTAGAACGGAGCCTTTTAGCAGCTGTTCAGTGAATCTCAGAGCCAGTCCTCATGGAAAAAGACTCCAACAGTTTGCATTTCTTACCTTGGGCTCTGATCCCTTGTGGCCACATTCCTTTCTTCTCTTTCCTCTGGGATTTTTGGCCATCGTTTTTTGTCTTTTTGTGTCTTCTCTCTGGCCTCAAGTCCTCAGAGTTGACATTGATCCTCTGGCTTTCTTCCCCAACTCTGACTCACTTTTACCCCATCCAGCTATTCTGGGTGAAGAGCATACTAGAACAAGGACACTCCCACCCCACCCAGGATCCTTCAGGAACTCCACCCATCCTCCCTACTCCCTAACATCAAAGAAAGGATCCAAGGACACAGTGTCCCAGATATGGCAAATATGTCATTTCTGCATTGTTTGCAGGTTCCCTTCTATAAAGTAGTTATGGATACTTTTTAAATCCATAGTGATAGCTGGCTTGGCTTATCCTATAGGCTAGTGACGGTCACAAGCATGAAAAGGAGGCAGAGCCCAGCCAGGTTATCACTTCCAGTTCAGACTATGTTCATGATGCTGGACCTTCAGTTCTTCCTCTCGACCCTAGGATAGCCAATCCTGATGTTCTCTGCCCACTACTTTCCCTACATTGCATTTTTTAAAAGGCTGTTGATAGTCTAAGATCAGACCTGATCAAGAGTACTAGTATTGACCCTGGACAAGAAAGATCCTGGCCCCCTCTGCCATGGGTGCCAATCTGTGCCTCCTGGGGTGATCACTCAGAACCAAGATGGACTTAGCAGGCCTTTATCCAACTTGAACCATTTACTGGCCTGGAGGTTGTTCAGCCTCAGAAACATTCCACGGATACTGGGTGCTCTCAGAAGACCCCAGCTTTCCACAGACAGATAAAGGATATCAGTGCTGTGACAACAGCATATGCAGACCCCATTGCGAATGAGCCAGCGAAGATCCCCAGGAAATTCCCCACAGACTGGAAGAACGCGGCGGTGTCAAATGCATTTGGATTCTCCTTGGGACTGTAAATGGATATAGAACTGAAAAGACAAGAGGAAAGGCTAGTCAGTGACTTTCATCTTATGGCCCAGATAAGTAGTTTCACAGTCCCCACCCCCTTTTGGAGAGACACTCTGTCCTATAATTTGGGTGCTGCTTGGAAGGGTTGAGGGAGAAAGGATGAAGAGGAAAAAGAGGTAGAGAAAGCAGAAAGCTTTCTCTTACCTTACAGCCCAATCCCATGGTATCCATATATTTCTGCCAGTCAGTAAACATTTTTATATTGGAAGGGTCATAAAGAATATTGTTTCTGAGCAAACTAGGCATTAAAACATGGTAGGTGTATACGGAATCTGCTGAGAAGATAGATAACTGTGAATTATTTAGTGGCCATATGTCTTCAGTGCTGTTATATATTCACAAATGTTCCTGATAAAAAGTGCACTTTTATGGCCTGTGCACAAATGGGTGATACAAATCACGGCGTGCACAAAATATTCTGCGGTGATCTTGTCATAAACCACAAAGCCTTCCTCTCTCCAGCATAACCCTTCAGAAACAGAGCCCTGGTGGCATTCAGAACATCACAATATTAACCCCCAGGGAGAGACAAAACCCTCATCTTCCCACCATAACAAATGGCAGCAGCTGCCCAAGGTCATCTTTTATACCCCAATTCTGGTGGCTGCCAACAGATTTATTTCCATAGAGAAAAATCAATCCACCAATAAGCAGTCTGTTCACTTAAATATTTTTGAGAATATTGTACTTTAAAAAAAAAAAACAACAAGGCCTCAAACCCTAGAGTGTTAATATGAATAAAGAGGTGGGCCTTCTTTGGGGATATGTGAACTCCATATTATAGCATTAAAACGAAAAGATGCATGGGAACTAGCAACTTCAGGGAGACAAAAGAAGTAATATTTATTTATTTATTTATTGCAATTTTTCTTTTAACATGGGGTATTTAAAACTAATCGGCAAAAATCAAGAATTTGGCAGTGGATTCTGGAAAAGACTATGGCAGTATGGAGAGAAAATACACTAGATCCAATGACTAAGACGAAACTGGGATTTATAGAGCTGTAACTGGATCTTCTGTGCTCAGATGATTAGAACGTGTTAACTCTCTGACCCGACTTTTTCCATCTAGAGACTAGTTAAGACAGTGCAGGGGGAACAGATTCCATTTCTCCTTCTGGAAGATACATGGCATAAAGAAGGTAGTTTTAAATGTTCTTAGTTTCCCCCTCGATGTCTTTAAACCCCCAAAGTAGGCCAAACACTTCTGCTTTGATCCTGTAATTGGATAAGGAAGATGAATGTGGATCTTGAATGGAGCTCTGAAATATATGCGAGAAAAAAGGATTGCCTTTGAAGTGATTTTCTTTTTTGTAAAGTGTTATGCTTTGCAGGAAAAAAAGGAAAAGCAAACCCATATTCGGGGCCTTTGTATTTGCCAGTCCTGGGGAAAGGTGTAACCCTCCCCTGGCCATCAGGAAACCTGGTGCCCAAGGCTGTGAAGTCTGAAGTGTTGGCCTTGACTTTCAGCAGATTTCCTCATTCCAGGGAAGAAACAATGGACAAGGAAACTGCTACACTTCTTTCTTCCTTTCAAACAAAGGTTTTTGCATGGTAATGTGGCTTTGTAAATAACTGAAATTCCCAGGGCTGCTTCCAGTAAATCTGAGCCCCTGAAAGGATAAAGGCATCTCTTTACCCTTCCCCTCCATCTCCACACCCCTAGAAGGGTTTTCTCTGTCTGGCAGCTTCTGGAACATACCACCATCACATCATTTGGCCATATTCTGTACCATTATTTATCTAATGTTTTACTTTAAATCAACTCATTTACATTCAAAAGTTAGAGATTTTATTAAAGAATATGTATGCTATCATAAGTTTGATATGATAGATATATTTCTTCTTAATGAATGTAGGATAAGTAATTTGAAAAAAAAAAAAATTCCCCAGAGTGTTCCCTAAACTCATCTCCATAACCCCACTGATTTGGAGTCTGTGCTTGGGAAGGCCATCCAACAGGGTACAGACTCTGTGTGTCCAATTCTATACCCTTCCCATGATTTTTGACTTAACTGAAGGAGAAGGCTTAACTCCCCTGAGCCATGCAAATGATCCATTGAATTTGCCACGCATGGCTCCCCAGGACAGGTTCGCTGGGTTTCTGCTATGTTCTAGGTGATATACTAGGTACAGAGTGCTGGGGGCAGACAAGGGGGCACACAGAGAAGGGGAGCAGAATTGTATTCAACATTTTATTAACACTTGGTACATGCAAGTCGCAACCAGGCAGAAAAGCCCAAGACACCAACACATATGGCTCTAGTCCCAGTGCTGAGTGTGAGGCTGAGAGAGATACACAAAATGTAATGGGACAGAAGAGGAAAGGGGCACCGTTTTAACATAAAAGAGGTAGTTATTTGAGCAAGGTTTCAAGTGGACACACAGTGATGGGGAGAGGGTCTTCCAGGCAGTGGGAAGAAAGTGAAGAAAGGCAGGGAAGAGGGCGAGTTCGGGGCACATTCTAGGTGTAGCTGCGTGATCAGGGCTGGAGCCCAAAGTGTATACCCAGGCCTAGGTGAGGGCGGGGGTGTGGGAGGCGCCATCTTGAGCCCTTGACTCCGTGTTCAAATACATAGGAACCCACGCAGGGATATAAAATGCTTAGTCCTCTTACACCTACATTTAATTTGGTTCAATTCTATAACATTTCTGAGAGATGAATAGGGCCAGTATAGCAAACCCTTTCTCCCTCCTTTCTTCCTTTTTCCTTTGTATAAAATAGACTGAGGAAAAGAGAAATAAGGGTCACACAGAAACCATGTTCACAAAGTCAGTCTCTTATTTCTTCCTTTAAAAATGGCATCATTTTAGGAACCCACATGAACCCATATTGGGGTAGCTGAGTAGCACTGACTGTCAACGTAGGCATCCTGTAGCAGAGCCCAGGAGCTTGGTCTGCACGGTCCTGCACGGTCCTGCACACAGGGATGAGTCAGCCCTGGGCCCCACTAGGTATGAGTCAGGGCTCCTCAAGGGAACCTGCTCATGTGCTTGCTGGGCCTGGGCCTTGTTCCTCTTCATATGCACAGGACACGACCTGGTATCAGTCATGTGGCAGGTTATATAAAGGTTGATGGAAGGAAGGTTGATGACTGGGAAGAAGAAGGGAGAAAGGAAGTCATGCAGGAAATAAAGAGGCTAGCGAAAGGAAGCATCTCTCAAAATGAGTCACCATTCACCAGATTTTAACTGGGCATTGACTATATGTAGTCATGTTGTGGGTACTTTGGGGGTTGTCAGTGCACCAATAAAACTGACACTAGTGTTTTTTCACTTGAGACCAAAATTTGACACCAGTTGCCTGCCTGGTCTTGGAAAGGTACTTCATCCTATGGAGACTCAATTTCTTCCCATGTTAATGGAGAGAACAGTAGTACTTATCCTCTAGAAATGTGAGGATCAGAGACACATTTAAACTCACATATGTACTTTGTAGATTTCAGAACCTTTCACAGAGTGATTATGTAGTTTGCTCAAAATAAATACCCAGTGAAAGTTTATTGTCACTAGATTTGTCATCCTGTTAAGGACTTTCCACAGGTCTCACAAAGACAGACAGCAGAGTTGTGGGTGCTAAACAAAACGTCTCAATTCTGACTGTGAGCAGAAGGGTAGTGTTTGGCCTCCTGGGATGAGCTTTGAGGTCGTTAGGAAGGAGCTAGTCACTTTGCACAGGGACAGAAGTGGGTGTAGGGCAAGAATGGACTGACCAGACGGGTGCCCCAGGAAAATGGCCATGGGAATGACAAAAAGTTATTTTAATTGCAGAGGAGTTGATTCAGGGCCCCAGGGAGGGAAGAAGCATCTTCAGCAGGCTAAGCAAGGGGCGTCTCCAGAGACAAGAGCAAGCCAGGTGCCTCAGCTTGAATTGTGCCTCAGTGAGTATAGTGAGGGGTATTCTGCAGGCAAATGCCCTCTGTCTTCTGGTGAGAAATGAGGTAAGGTGGGCAGGGGTCTCACGGCCCAGGAAGACTGCAGTTCTCGGGATTGCCAAGATTTTAGAAAGCTGTTCCTCTAGGCTCTTGCTCCTGGCAAGGGACATCTCTCTGGGTTCTGGTTTCTAGCAGCAACACTGGCCTCTAAATTTGGTATCAGCAGATGCAAGGGGTTAGAAACAGCATGGGGTTTGGGTAGCACATGTGGGGTTTTCCAACTTCAACCCAAGCGGAAGATGGTATTGTTCCAGCAATTTCTGCCCTTTGGACTAATCTCCTAATCCCCTGTGCCACAGGAGATGCTTGAACCAGTGGATGTTAATACTGGAGGGGGAGAAGAGAAGAAGGAATTGGATTTTCTGTCCTGTGCAGGGGGAACACTTCAAAAGCCCTGCTTAGAGCACAAGCTGGTGAAAGTAGATACAGGGTCTCCACAATTTTAGAAATGAAAGTTTGAGTCGGATGGCACTAGTATCTTTGAAAATGATATGGCCAGAAATACACAGGGGTGTTTAAATATTTAACTCATAAATTGGAAATAAGTCCAGGTTATTGATCCAGTCTACTCAGGAACAGATTATTCAGCAAAAACTAGTTTGATAACAGTCTATGTGGTATCCATACTCAGAAATAAGCCTGTGCAGCATCTTTTATTTGAAAATGAATGATATATCCCAAATACCTTTATAGAAGCAAATTAATTAGCATCATTTTAATAAGTTAATAAGGATCATTTTTTTCCCAGTATACCACTTAAGATTACACAGGCACAAACAAGTTTCTAGTGTTTCTCAACAACCCATCTTTTTGTCTGTATGATGTTTCTGAAAGAATAGACTTTCCTGAAAGAATAAGAATATTTTAGGGAGCTTCAAGGATGTAGACCTGCATCTGAGATCTGGGTGTCAATCTCAAGCGTCTTACTGGCTGTGTGACTTTGAGCAAGTTACTTAAACTATCTTTACCTCCTCCCTTTCTACAAAAGGGCAAGAGAACCTACCACAGAGGGTTGCTATAAGAAT